ATTTATTATAAAGTCCTGAGTTTTCTGAGGTATCTTGATTCTTTTTAAGGCTAGTTTCAGCATTTCTATATTAACTGAGTCGAAGGCTTTCTTCATGTCTTGAAATAAGATTTAGAGTTCTTTCTTATTTTCTCTTGCGTCCTCTATTATGCTGTTTAATATCTGTATAGGTTCTGCTGTTCTCTCTTCTGGTAGGCTAGCATAGTTTCTTCCTTTCAAGATTTTCTTCTCCTTTAACTTTCTTCCTAGCCTGTTGTTTAGTACTCATACTACTGTTTTTCTGAATGTTTCTAACAACAAAATAGGACAGATATTGTTGAGGTTATAATTCCAATCTTCTCTTTTTGAAATTAGATATAACAATACAATTTTTTATTTTTTTGGTATTTTTTCTAGCTTAAAACATTTGTTTGCTAGTTTTTTGAATAGTTTTTTTGCAAAAGCATTCACGTTTTTGATGAGTGAGTAGAAGATTTCTGTAGGGCTGGGTGCAGAGGAATTTTTTGTCTGTTCTAATGCTTCCATCCAGTCTTCACTAGTTATCTTATTGGCTAGGTCTTTGTACCAATTTTCTTGAATGCTTCTGACTGGTTTGTATCTTTCCTTCTACTTTCTTAGCAGATTCTTGGCTTTCATATTTCTTTTTCTGAACTGCTTTTGGAAATGCTCTCTTACTTCTTCTAGTACTTCTTTAGGCTCATTTACCAGTTCTTGTTCCTCTTTCTCATCTGTTTTCTTCTGAATACTTTTTCTAATCTTATACTTCTATGTGGCTTTTCTAACAGACTATCTATCATTTTCCTCTGATTTTTTATATTATTTTAAATCTTTTCTCAATAAAATCTTCAATTTTTCTTTCTTCTTCTGTACGTCTTTCTGCTTGCCACCTTTTGTATATAATTTTCTACCATACTTTTAAGCTTTTATGGTTTCTTAAGTCGGCCAGCTCTGGTAAATCCTATTTTGTCTTGATCTTCAGTATATATCTCTCAAATTTCTCTTTTTCTTTCCATACCAGGCCTGTATATCTTGTCTTCTTTATTTTCCTACACCATTTACTAAGTGTTTGAGTTTTTAGCCATAATTTTTTTACTGTTTCACTATGCTCTAATGTTGACTTCAGTTCTGGTAGTTTTTTCCTTTTTAGCAGAGTACTGAGTGCTGCTTTTCTTATCGATGACTCAATTATGTTCCAAATGCTATCTATATCTAGTATGTTAAAGTTTTCTTTCTCTCGTCATATTCTTTCTCGATAAGTTGCTGCTTCTGTTTGTGTTCTTGTAGCTTCTTTTTTTTGTTTCATGATGCTCTTTATATCTTTTCTTAATTTTTCTTCAAGCCTGGATCTATAATTCTCCCAATCTTCTTTGTTTGTTTTATCTATATCAACGTTTATTTTCGGATCTTATGTAGTATAGGTGGTTATATATAAATTATTACAAGATTATAATATATAAAACCTATCTAATTTGAGCTAATTTATATTAGAACTCTAACCCTAACCTTAACTATTTATAAATTTACTTGATTTGATTCAAAATAGTTGATTTTTATATATTATAATTATATAATAATTATATTTGACTACCTATACTACATTTCAACCTTATTTTCTTTTTGTCCAGACGTCTTATTCTTGCTTGATTTCTTATTCTTAAGTCTATTCCTGTTTCTAGTTTGAGTACTACTGCTTTATGATTACTTTCTGTTATTAGCGACATGTCTACTATCTTTTTTTGCATTATGTTTCTTGCCCAAAGTTTATCAACCCATATTGTGTCTATTCTGGATCTTGACTTCTGATTGCTTCATGTCGCTACTTTATCTTCTAGATTTGTTTTTCTTCATACATCTACTAAGCCTTTTAATTCTATCTCCTCTACAATTTTTTCTTTTGTATTTTTCTTTTTGCTTGATACTTGATTCATTGCAACATTGCTAAAATTCGTATTAAAGTCTCCTATTATTACAAATCTTTGATGCTTCTTTTTGTTGCTTGTATTTGTTCTTTTCTTTATATAAGTCTTTATCTGTTCGATTATTTGGTGCTACATATATTACTATGATATTGATCATAATTCCTTTGAAGTCTAGTACTATATCGATACTGTATGGGCTCTCTCTAGATATCTTTACTATGTGTTTTTCCCATTGTTTGTCAATCAGGATGCCGACTCCTAATCCTTTTTTCTTTTGTTCTTCTGCTGCTAACTATTATGCAGGTAGTACTCTTGTTTTTTAATTAAAAATCTTCCTTCCTTCTCAGATAGGTTTGTTTCTGCTATTTCTAAAATATTAATGTTCTTATCTTTCATAAAATCTATAGTTAATTCTACCCTGTTTTTGCATGTTTTGATGCTGTTAATATTGTGGAATCTAATTTTTAGTGTATTGAAGTTTTGGATCTTGTTTTTGCTTGTTATATTTCTTTTTCTTTTTCTTTCATATATGTCTATTTGCTGATCAAAGACTTTTTTTTCTCGTTGTTGTATCTATTCTGAGGGCTTCTGCGAAAGGAGCCAGTCTTCTGATCAGTTTTCAGAGATTTAACTAGGGTGCCTTCTAGGAGCGTTGAGCAGGCACTGCCTGCTCATTGCTCATACTATCTAATCTTCTTAATATTTCTTTAAGTATTATTTGATGCTCATCAATTCTGTTTATAATGCTAGTGTCTACTTTTCAGTTATCTTGGCTTCGACTTCACTTATTATCTTTGTATTTTTCTCTTGTACTTGAATTATCTCTTTCTTGTTTTTCTGTGTTTCTTCCTTCTTGTTATATGAAGTTTCTCCCCATTTTCTTTTAGTAAAGGCTCCTTTGGTTGTCGAGATCTTTCTCTCCATGTGTCTCTTTCTGAGCTTCGTGAGCAGTTGTCATATTTGCATTTCTGCTTCTAATTTAGTATCTAGTTATTGTACCTGACTGGCTTACTAATTGCTTTTTCTAAATCTAACTTATTTTCAACAATGATGATTGCTGCTTGCTTCATTTGGCTGTTTCTTTTTCTTGGAATATATACTGCCTTTGCTTCTCTTTCTTTAATATAGCCTAGTAATAATGTTTCTGAAGCTCCTTCTAGAATGTCTTTTAGTTTTATGGTGTGCCTAAAGCAGTTACTCATTTCTTCTCTATTTTTTTTACCTTTAGAAACCTGCACTAACCTTCTATTCTCTAATGATAGAACCCAAGGCAGCTTGTAATTCTTTATGTTAAATCCTAGTTCTATCTCTGCTACTGTTCTGAATTCTGTTCTTTTAATCTTGATATCTTCCAGTCTACCAAATTTTTTGCACATATATTGAACTTCTTTTGTGCTAGTTGATTTTAGTAGATCTCAGATAGTAATATATCTGGTGCGTTCTGTTCTGCTTTCTTCATATTGTTTTTTTTTTCTTTCTGTTTCTTCATAAAGGTCTCTTCTCCTGAAGGCTTGTAGTTTTTCTTCTTATCGCCTGCTTCTCTCTTTTTTATAATTATTCTCTTTGCTTCTTCGACCAGATTTTTGTTCTTTGTTAACAAATCTGGAATGAGCCAAAGCCAGTCACCTTCTTTCTTCTCAATTCTTTTGATTGCATTTGTTCTGCTTTATTCGCAATCGAACTTTACTTCTATCTAACTATTTCCATTTCTGAATACCTCTTGTATTAATTTCATATGTTTGTTCTTGCTTAAGATACCTTCTAAGTTTGCGACTCTTTCTTTAGGTATATTCACTGGTACTTTGTATACATGTGCTTTTGCAACGAATGATTTATCACCTTCACATGTTCTGTTATTTGGTGACTACATGCTGCATTCTATTGGATCACATATTATCTCTGCTAACAAGTTTTGTTGGTCTTTTTTTCCAATTTTTTGTATCTCTTTTCTAATGCTTTTAATCTCATCTCTCGCAATTCTTTCTATTAGTACTTCTTTATCTTTTTTAGTTTTTTTTACTTCAATTCCTTTCTCTTTAAACCAGTCATATGAGCTCGCACCTGAGTCTGAGACTACTATAATTTCTGTTTATTTGTCTTTCTTTCTCTCACTTTCAGTTTGTTGTGTTGGTTTTTCTACATTTCTTTTTTTCGATTCTATTTTTTTTTTTGATTCTTCTTCTTGTCTTCTTTTTTTCGATTCTTCTATTTGTATGTTTTCTTCTTCTTCTATTTTCGTAATTTCTTCCATCTTGTTACTTCTTTTTTAATTTCTTCTTTGCTCATTTCGGCTATGTATTCTATTGACTTCGGGTTTTGGCTTACCCATCTGGCCTTAATTGTCCACTTTTCTATTTGGCTTTCTTCTATTTTTCTGTATTCAGCTTCGTTTAATGCTATACAAAATTTTTTATATACAATTAATTCTAAATTTGTGATCTTGTCTATATCTTTTATCGTTAAGCTCCTTGCTATATATTCTGTATCATTTGGTGCACTAACTAAAACTTCCTTAGTGAGTTTTTCTAGTTGTGTATCCATCATGTATGTTGATGATGCTGCACATCTGCTCTCTATAAAGTCGTAAAGGATTATCGTTGCTATACTGTAATATCTATTAATTCAGTTGATAATCTATTTTTGCTTATGTTGTCTGATAATCTAATCTAATTTTCTAGAAAATTCTATTGCTAATTTTATTTATTCTTTATATGTAACTTTGTTGTTGTTATTTTGTTGTACATGTGCAGCTTTATTTTGTTTTTGGCTTATTTTAGACATGTTTGTTTGTTTACGTACCTGTGTGACTATTGATGATCTGCATTCAGAGTCAAACTAATATCCTCTTTTTTTAAAAATTTCTTCATAAAATTTTGTTTTTCTTAGATAGCTTGCTTCTTACAAGTTTTTCTTTGCTCCTTCCTAAGCTTACTAACTATTAATTTTGTTGCTTTTTCTTTTTTGTTAGAGTTACTTGCGATGTTTCCTATAGCTTTTGTTGAGTTTTTGTCAATTTTGCTTCTGCTTGTTTTTGTATCCAAGTAATCATTGGAGAGAGTTGAAAACTTGTATTGTTAAATAATGCAGTGTTGTTAATTGGACATGACCAATAAAATTTTTTAATTAGACAATTTTGGATATGTTTAAAACTGTTCAAAACTGTCCAAAACTGTCTAAAATTATTTATTACTTTTTTAATATATTAAACTAAGAGATCTAGTTTTTAAATTAATTACCAATCGATTTGTATAATAAGAAATCTGTAATATATATAAATACTATATATATATAGTATATTATTTCTGGCCAACCTCATTTATGTAACTTTTTCATATACTTATTACTACTAGATATATATTCTATTTAATTTAGATAACTGAGTATTATTTCATTTAATCTTAAATATCAAAAACAATGCATAAAAATAAATATTTCGCTTTAAAATAAGTATATGAAAGTTACATTACATAGATAGCAGAAGATAAATCAGTTATATTCTATGCAGTTTAGTATAAGCAAAATTTTGTAATAAAGTTTAATCGGCTGCTTATATGGCTGATTATATTTACTGCAAAATTCCACTTATACTTAACTATCCGAATATAACTATTACATGTCAGCTAAAATTTTTTATTAAGGTTGTTTTCTTGCTATGTAATTCAAACTCTAACCAAATTTAGGTAATAATATAGCGCAATGAATTTTTAACACTAACTGTAACCACAATGTTGTAACTCAATATAGTACAATTAATACATAATCGTACTTTAGTGCTCTATCAATGCATATAATTATGATTGAACTGAAACATGTATAATCATTTCTAACAATCTAATCTAAATAGTGAAAAAGATATATTCATGATATCCAAGCTCAAAATTAAGGGTGTGAAATTGTAACAAAATTGTTCATAATATTATAGTAAAATAAACTATGACTACAAAGTTATAACTCAATGCAATACGATTGATATATAATTATACTTTAGCACTCAATTAATGTATTAATCGTGATTGAACTGAAACAAATATAATTGTTCTCAACAATCTCAAACCAAATCAAGGAAAAAATATTTTCACATTATTCAGATTTCAAAATAGCAGATTTAAAATTGTAATTTAAAGAAAAAAAGAGAAACAGTATTGTTAATAAAGGTGGTAAGATTCAAAAATGAATAAATAAAGGAGAAACATATCTGATAAAGCCTAGCAACTATTAATAATAGGAAAAATAGTAAAAGAAAAACTGGTAGAACTCTAAAATAGAATAATAAATTAGTGTCTAAAAAATATATAAAAGCAAAAAATTTATAATAAAATAAACTTATCTTTTGTGCCTCTAAAAAGTTATTAGAAAAATCAAACACTTATACAAAAAAAATAATGTTAGTATAATCTTTTATATCATCATGATCAGTGTATAAAATTTAATTATGATTCTACGCTCTCACTAAGAACATTTTTTAAGCTTAAAAACTTTTTAATGTTCTTAACATAGAAAAATTAAATCAAAAAATTAATGTACTTAGATAGAGAACATATTTTTAATAAAAAACGTTAAGAATATTAAATTTCACATAATGATCATAATGTAAGTTATTTTAACAAAATTTTTATAATTTAAAATTTTTTTTAATAATCATTATTTTATATAGTTGCAAATCAATATATGAATCATAAAGGTAGAGGACGCCCAAGACATAGCTTTACTATGTATATTAATATTTTGTTCAAAAAAGATCTGAAAGATAAAAGTCGACAATATGTATATAAAGTATATGCTAAAATATTAAAGGAGGATGCTCCGGTAATAACAAATAGAAAAGAAAGAATTAAAAAGCATTTGCAAGAATGTGAACATTTTTGGAATAAGCACGGTAAAAAAGCCACTGAAGATATATTAAAAAATTGTGCTAGTGAAGAAGAAATAGAAGAAATAGAAGTATCTTCACAAAATAATTAGTAGTTGGTATTAAATTTTTTATATGTAATTAAAAATTTAAATACTTTATTAATTTATTATCTAGAGGGTGTGGCGACTTAGTATAGTTGGTAAGTTGTCGTACCCCAAGCGGCAGGACAAGAGTTCGAATCCCACCAGCAACGAAATTCAAAGTTGCGGAAATGTGTTATGATTAAACTATATGATATATCGATTGGGTAAGCACCTGTAACCTTAGTCTCACCAACTCGTATTGGGAGGTTGTGAAGTATAGTGTAATATATAAGTTACACGAGTGAAGCAGCCAAATTTATCCAAGAGATCGGGGAATACGAAAGTCCGCTTGGGAAGTCCCAAGTAGAGAGGTAGCACAGATCTTCAACAGTACTATGTAAAGGATTATCATCTGGGGAACCGGACACTTGCAAGTAAACTGAATGAGGACCGAGTGTTTGGCAAAAGCACTATACCAACCAGGCCGCCAGATCAGCTGGAGGAAAAAGGATTCATTCAGAATACCAGGAGACGCCCACTGGTCCCTCCTGGGCCATCTGGATTGGGAGTTTGAGGCACCGTTAGTTGGTATCGAAGTACTGTTGATAGTCTGTAAAGTGTGTACTGGGGTTTGAGCGAACTTTGCAAGGGCACAGAGTAGGTAATGGTAGCGGAGGTAAAAAGCCGCAAGTACTTGGCCGCGGTCTAGGTGTAAGTTACCAAAAATCTAGGTAATACATGTGTGAGATATGAACCGCTCTGGTAGGTTTATCACAAGGATAAAGGACTCCCCTATATAGAAGTGTGTGTTTGCTTTAAAGTCCTAAGGGGCCTTTCCGGCAGTCACTCTTTGAGAAGAATATCTGATGGCGCTAAGTTAATCAGAGGGTTTAAATAGATAATTCCCTTAGTTGGGTTATAGGTATAGCATCTAGTGTAGTTCATACGGGTTACATATACAAAACTGCTTAAATAAACAACCAAAAGTTGTACATATAGCTAGTTGTACCCTCGTTAATGTAACAAAGTCAGGAGTAGCCCATGTGGTTGCTCTGACATTCGAATCAAAGTTCAATAAAACGTGCCAGACCCCAAAGTGGTCACCTTAACATTAAAAAAAAAAAATTAATTTATTATCTATATTAAATTTATAGATAATTCTTTATCAAGTTCTACGCAAAATTATACTCATACATCAACTATATCTAAATCAAGTTCTTTAAATAAAAGTCAACCAAAAAAATCTAAACAATCAACATTGTCTAAACATACTATACGAAATCTTACTAAGGCAAAAATACTATTATTTTATAACTATTTAATTAGAATGACAGTATCAAATGGTTGGGCCTTTCAGTGGATAAATAATCCTTTAATGCTTGAATCGTTTAATTGGTTAAATCCCAATTTAAAATTACCTGATCGAAAACAATTAGCTGGACCTATACTAAATAAAACAATTAATAGTATTAATAAAATATATGAAAATAAACTAAATTAAGTACATGAAAAAGCTGGTATAACACTAGCTTTTGATAGATGGATTAATATAGTAAAACAACATTTATTAGGATCAATGATTATATTACTATCTGAAGAATCTTTAGTATGTAAAATGATAGATACAAGCAGTCAAAAAGAACGTGCAATTAATGTTATATCACATATTGAAAATATGTTAAGTGAATTAAAAGAAAACTCTATTAAAGTTGTAACAATTGTAAGTGATAGTGCTGCAGTATATACTTCAGCTCGGTAAGTAATAATATATTATAATTAATTATATATTAAAAATTATTATTAATATATTAAGTTTTAATTATATAGTTGACAGCTTCGAATTAAATATCTGGAATATGTTTTCATACCTTGCTTTGCTCACCAGTGTAATTTAGCAGTTGGTGAAATTTTTAAAGTATCTGAAACTTTAGCAAAAGCATCAGCTGATGCAGTTAAGTTATTTTTATATTTTAATTAGTTGAATAACATATATTTTATTAGAAAATTAAGAGATATTTAAAAGGAATTATATAATAAATATTTTGCAATTATAAAACCTGGAGATACAAGATGGAACTCATATTATAATTGTTATAAAAGTTTAATTTGAACAAAACAAGCATTAAGAGTAAGTTTTTTACTATACTTCTATTAAATAATATTTATATTTAAAAATTAAATATCATATTTTTTAATTTAATAAGAATTTAGTTACATGATATGAATTTTTTGATATACTATCACAAAGTGATGATGAATTATATTTACCAAATAATATTTGTTGAATAATTATGGATGAGTTATTTTGGTCACGTATTTTACAACTTACAGAAATAATGCAACTATATTGTGGTGCACTTGATAGAATGCAAACTGATAATACACGATTATTTGATATTATTTTGTTATTTGGATATTTTATTAAGATCTGAGAACAATATTTGATAGAATTTTAGCTGAAAATATAATTACAAGACTTGAGAATTACTGGAAAACGTGGGAACAGCCTTTATTATTACTTTCTCTAGTTCTTTATCCCAAATATTGTCTTAGCAAGTTTAATTCTGATTTAGAATTAGTTAATTTTGTAATATTAGGAAACTGGCTTAATTATTATTATCGAGCATGAGTAGTTAAAGAACCAACAAAATTACTTGCTGAATTTGAATTATATCGAATTGAAAAACCCCCTTTTGATAATACATATGAGCAATTTAATAATGATATTTTAGTATATTAGTATTATTGCTCTATAATGTATAAAGAGTTAGGATTTGTAGCTATTAAAATTTTTAGTATTTTTATAAATTCAGCATCAGTTGAACGGCTATTTTCATCAATGGAATTTTTACATACTTCTTGAAGAAATAAATTAAGCGTAATATTATTTTATATTATAATATTATTATTTTATATTAATTTTTATTATTAATTATTTTATAATTTGTTTTAGTATGAAAAGATTGCAGCTATGGCACAACTTCGTGCTAAAATTATTCAAACTGAGAATAAAAACAAACGAAAGCATTATGAAAAAATACAAGCCAATATTGCATTACCAATTACTAAATTAAGTAGTCAAATGTTTATTGATGAATCACAATCTGATGATATTTAAGAAGAATTCCAAACTAATATTCAAAAAGAATTCCAAACTGAGATTCAAGAAAGTATAATCGATTATATAACTATGGAAAGTGTTTAGAATGAAAGATTAGCAGAATGATATGAAATGTTAGAACAAGAGCAAATAAAGAATTAGATGAGGATAATTTATCAAATAATATATTTTCTAATAGTTTATTAAGTTCTTATACGCATCCTGCTATAAATATAGATGCAAAATAGGATTTGTGTAATCTTTTTATTCAGGAATTAGAAAAACCTGATTTTATTTCTACTTTAAATTAAAAATTATTTAGTATTAGCATTAGCTATTAAATAAATAAATATATATTGTATATAAGGTTTAGATTTAAGTTAAAGCTAAATTGTATCAAACTGAAATTTGATATTTATTTAATTTTATATTTCTATTATTATATATTTTTATAATATTCAATACTAGATATGTTTTTATACTTGTATATTCTTCTGATTAGCTTACTGACAGCTATTTTATCGAATGTTTATTTAGTCAACATCACTTAGAGTTAGGATTAAGCAATTAATTAGTTGCATATATATATTTTTACTAAATTTCACCTAGTGTGATGTTAGCAAATAAGCTGTTGGTAAAATTATTCTCGAATATATTTCTAAATTTGTTATTATATATACAGGTTTTATGCAGAATTAAAAATTATACGTATTAAAATTATTTATTTATTTCTGATTTGGTATAACAATATTATGTTGAAGTTAGCATCTGCTTGTAATGCACAGTTAGTACAACTTCAAGTGCTTGAAGTTGCATCTTCAAGCCTATTGAAAGACTTTATATAAATAGCTGTTTAAGTCTATTTAATTTTACATTATTTTTAAAAAAAATCAAACTACGAAGAATAAACAAAAAAGAAATATATAAAAAGTTTTATTAAGGTTGTAGAACTCCATTATTAAAAATAACCAAAATCATTTTTGGTTTCTGAGAAGTTAATATAATAGCGACTTTTTAAAGATAGATTAAAATTAGATTATTATTGTACTAACTTCTTTAAAACAAAAAGAGATTTTGATTATGTTTAATAATGGAGTCCTAATTAAAACTTTCTATATACTTCTTATTTGTTTATTCTTCATAGTTTGAATATTTTTTAAAAAATAATTTAAACTGTATAAATAATATAAAATTAAATAAACTTAAACAGCTATTCATATGAAAGTCTTCCTATAACCTTCAAGCAAATGCTAAATTTAAGCACGACAATAACATATATAGTATGTAATGATTTATTATTTAAAATGTATATTAATTTATAATTATATATAGTATGAGCGAGCTGTATACTAAATATAGATTCTGGTATATTGCAGCATACAATTATGCATTTTAATTATTAGCATTAATTAACAAGTTATCTTTATAATAAATAATCTATAAGATATAAAAATTTTTTAATAGTTGCTTCACCTCTTCTATACATTAATTTTAGATACTGTTCATGTGATATTTAAATTTTTTTTTTTTTCCAATTATTGGCAGCCTCGCTGGTATCTTTATTAGATCAAAGCATATATATACATATATTTAACTATCTAAACTATAGATTCGACATTTCTTGGCTACCTCTATAGGCGCCCAAGGACGGTCTGCCTCACCGGTTAAGGCTAATGCCCATACCAGAAGGTTACACCAAGCTAGCCATTGAAGCTATACCAAAATGGCTTCACACTATTTACAATAAAGTCTTTAACTACAGCAAACCAAGTATTTTCTTTTCTGTCAGCTTCCTTCTCTTTAATGAT